AAATCCGGGCCTGGAGTGAAAGCGGATCTCATCATCAATGTTGTGCAAACCGCGCTTTGGGCCTTCAGGGAACGAATAAAAATGACAGTCTAAGAACATACATCTATTTGGCCTTTCACTGTCTGGATCAACTCGATCAGACATAATAATCAAAATCCTTCAACAGTCGACAAACCTGGCCAGACAGTATTTTTCCATCCCGCCAGACCTCCGCCTCATCCATGGTGGCTCCAGTTAGTCTCTCAAGTATTGTTGTTTTGCCGGCATTCGCACGGCCGAGGATAAGCACACGGAATTTCAAATGTCGGTCATTCCAGAACGATAAGTCATTCTCAGAGGGGGTTTCGGCGTTGGAAGTCATTGAGGGCAAAAATGGGAGCCGGTGAGAGGGTAAATATATGCCAGAAGATCTGACATCAAAGGCACTTCACGCGCAATCACCGCATTCAATACTGGAGCATCAGTGAGTTCTCCCGCTGTAATCGCGGCTGTGTGTTCTCTTGTTCCACATTTGGCAATGAGCTTCACAGCTTGCTGTCGTATTTGATGGAAGTAGTGTGAATACAGCACAAGGTGATGTCTGCGAAGGTAGTGTTACTGTGTTGCCAGCACAGCTGACCAAATCCGAAGACAGAGCGCTGCTAAGTGGCCCGGTTGATTGATGAAGCCATGCTCAATTTGGACTCAAATTGAAGATCCGTTGCACTTAACACCACGATCGCCAAATTGGATGGAAGAAATACGAAATAAATGGCATAAAGGCAGATATGTAGTCCTCAGTCTAGGGCTCCCTAAGCGCCTCTATCGGCATCCATGACTCGTTGAATCCCTCCTCCGACATTGCCCACTGTTCAGGCTTCACACTGTTATTCATTATAATGTCTGCGATCTTCTTGATGACAATGTCTGCGTCCAAGTGGCCAAATGTTCCCCATCTGTCCACCCATGCTTTTATGCTGGCATACACGGGGGCCTTGCGACTGTTGTAGATCCGGAGTGCGCTATTGACGAGTGCGATTTTGATCGGTGTCTGACCTCGGGAAAGCACAAGATAGAACAGGGTGTCCATGGTGAGCGTGAGGTCGACGAGGAACGCTACTAGACAGCGGACGGAGCTTTTCCTGGGATCCTATTACCCTCAGAGGAGCGGCATATGACGAGCTGATCAAAGTCACGAACGTCTTCTTGTACGTCCCTCGTACCCATTCTGCGAACAGAACAAACGCCGCTGTGGGGCCAGCAATGACGATGGCGGCCGGGTTCTCGATGATTGCTTGTACAGCCTTCTCAGTCAAAGGGTAATTGTTTCTGCAAGAACATTTTCACAATTAATTCTAGGCACTGAAGTAAGTGCATATGTAGCCTCATCGGATAGATCTTCCACCAGAGCTGACAACAAAGCCAAGAACTCTGGTTTCTTCAGATGCTGAACGTTGGCGAGAAATAAGGGAGGAGCCTCTCCTGCGATCTGAATACCACTCACCTTCTCAGGATCATGCATGTTCCACACATTGACAATATCTTTCTGCAAAACCTCCAGCACACTTCTCATCGTGAAGCCGAGAAAGATGTCGGAGATAAGGCCACGCCAATATCCTGTTCAACTCGTCAACAGCACGATTTAAATAGATCCGCTCCGATCGTACGTTTCCGTCCAACACTGGCGGGAAATCGAATGAGAACCTCGAATTCACTATGAGAGTCAAGGCTATTACCGAATCGATGCATCGATACCTGCTTCAGCATTGGACCGTTGTGCTATAGCCATTTCAATCCAGACATTTTCTATTTTAGTGAGTTCAAGGGCGAGGTTGACCAGATCTGCGATTGTCGTCCTGTAACGTGGGTCAGTTGCTGTCGACAATCAATAAGTGAATGGAGTTATCTACGACAGGAGAAGACACGCACTCGATGTTGCAACCCATTTGGGGGGTTCCGAGAGCGTAAGGGCGCATAACGGTATGAAACAAAGGTCCTGTACTGTCGAGGCCACGATGGTATCGAGCTCTGCCTCAAATCTGTAGGCCCGGCGGTCTTCAGCGGGACTGAGGCATGTAAATTACTATGTACCAGGCTTACAAACGGCCTAGGCCACTGGTGTTGAGCAAGTTCGGTGAACATAATTTTATTAGATTTTTTTGTAAACCAGGTAGCGGGCTGTGCCGCTTGTCGGCCTTACCGGGATTATCGCCATATTTAATACGCCATCAAGTTGCCATGCGTGTGTTGAAAATTTGTGGGATATTGCGAAGCTGATGCAGCCTGTCAGAGTGTGGCAAAAAGGGGGTACGATTGAGGGCGAAGGACATTAGTAATCCGAGACCTGGTTATCTCTGGAACCAGGAAAACCGATTTTATTTTTGACTAGGGTTCCAAGTCATGAAACTTTCTCAGCCTGCCGGAAGCCCGTGCTGAACTTGGTTGCGCTGCATCCGTGCGCCTTGGGCGGACAGGCGAGCAAAGAAAAGGCCGTGGCAGCGACGAGAGTCTTGAAGCTGAACATCGTGAACAAGGTTGAAGAGAGGGAGGAGGGATAGGAAAGCTGTGAAGACTTGGCTGAAGTTCGTTCGTCCTTTTATTCACTGAATCGAATGCAGAAAAAATTTAAACCTTTGAGGAACATTGGTCCCGTCGACGCAAAGTTCGCGTTGAGCATGCCACGAGGTTAGTGGGCGCCATATGCTGCCCAGCCCGTTTAAGTCGTCTGTGGCCTGCAAGTTGCACTGCAAGAAGGACAAATGAGCGATGAACTGCAGATCCTTGCAGATCAATAGAGATCAATCCCATTCGGTTATTCCTAAAATTCTGAAAGCTGCTGTGTTGCCCGCCGAGAAGAGCCTAAAATTTCCCGTTTACGTATGACGCCCACAATGCCACACCGACCTGACACCAACCTATGTCCATGTCTTCCCATTACACCGAAACATGGCTTTCTGGCCCGCAAGATACCAGCTTCTATACTCGAATGTACAACGCAGAAAACCCCACGTCGGTCCTCGTCTTCTTGCACGGCGCCGCCGAGCATGCCGGCCGCTATACCGATATGCACAACGCCCTTGCCCAGCAAGGGATTTCCGTCTTCGTATTCGACCTGCGAGGCTTTGGGAGGACGGCGCTGGATAAAGAGAACAGGAGCAGCGACTCGGCATATGGAAAAACAGACAGAGAAAGCCAGCTGGATGACGTGGAGTGGGCAATTGAACATGTTCAAGTCGAACTTGGTGCTTTGCCCATCTTCTTAATGGGCGCGTCTCTAGTAAGTTTCGCCATCTTCCTCAAGCCAAGTTCAACCTAAGTGACTCTTGTAGGGCGGCGGACTTGCCCTGAGTTTAATGTGCGACGTAAACCGGGCCACCCACAAAGCTCTGATCGCCGTTCACGGTGTCATCGCTGGGAGTCCCTGCATAACTGTTACTAAAACGGTGCCTAAGCCCGTCCTGTGGATCGTCAGAGCTCTTGCGGTGGTGAACCCGTACATGATTTATCCGATTCGAAATAAGCCTCAGGTGTGGGGGCAGTCCTATTTTTTATTGTTAAGGTCTAAATAAATACCATGACTTCCAGGACCTTTCTCGCAATCCAGTCACGAATGCGCAGTATCTGGCAGACCCACTCGTAAAGACGCCGGGGAGTATACGAAGTATACTGGACATGTTGGACATAGTTAAAAATTCACTGCCATATTTATTTCTTTTTAAATAACATTTTTACAGGGCGCGTACATTCTGTCGACCAGTTATATCAATTGGCCGAAGGATGTGCCCGTGAGAAACACCGGTCGCCTCTCTGCACAGAATTAATGATTTTCAAACCAGGTTCTCTTCCTTCACGGAACCCCGGACCCTGTTTGTATATTCAACACGAAGTACGCCGAGTCTGAAGTCTTGCTCTCAGGTCACCTCCTGTGAAAGCGCCAAGGCGTTGTTCGACAAGCTCCCTGCGACCGACAAGAAAATGATTACATACCCGGTAGGTATAATTCCCAACGAGTCCCTTGCGCATTTAACGCCGCCTAGGGCGCGTACCACGAGCTTCACAATGAGCCGGACGGCGTCCGCGAGACATCCTTGCAAGACATTGTTGACTTCATCAAATCGCACGTCGCGTAGATAGTTATTGAAATATTTCCATACTCTACGACTATATTGCGTTTGAAGTTCAATCTCATGTCGAAATTCCCGTACAACCTCAAGCATACAATCAGTCGGGCATTGAATATATCAGACCCAGAGTTTTGTGATTTGTCTACAGGCATTTTCTAAGCCCTTTTTCTAAGCCCCTTTTCGACACGAAGTTGTGGCCTAAAAATTTGAGCTTCGGGTTGAACTTATTCGTTTCTTTCCACCATCCCAACGCAGCTGGTGAAATTCAGTACTTGAGTTAAAATTACATCGAGATAAAGGTCCCCTTGCGAGATGCACACCGCCTCATATCTTTGGGAGGATTTCCATTCAAGGTCAGCTCAACCCAAAATAATCAGAGGTGGTGGATTTAATTAAAGAATTAAAAAAACAAATGGCCCAGTAGTGTAATGGCAACACACCTGCTGAAGTTTGGAGGTAAACATGTTTCTGTCGGTGTCCCCCTTTCGATTTGGGGTTGGGTCATTTGTCTGCGCTGGAGTTCCTTTTGTTCCATGGGCAGAAAATGATGCGAGGTTTTAAGTTCTATTTTTTAGTAAAGGAAGGACCTAGTGGTCAGGTTGAACGCAAGGCCAGGTCTTTTACTTTGTTTTGGAGTTTCTTTAGTTTTAATTTTCAGCATCTGGTGAAGACAATCAATAATAAATCACTTGCACATTTAGATGACCCAGTGGCGTAGCAGTAACGCACCCTGAACGCACCTACTGAAAGTAGGCAGGGAACAAACAAGTTTGGTGGGAGTTCCCTGTTTGACTCAGGGCTGGGTCATTCCCTTTGGTTTTGGAGTTTCTGTTTAATTTTCTAATTTTATTTATTTTCATCTGGCGAGGACAATTAATTTGACTTTGATATTTAGATGACCCAGTGGTGTAGTGGAAACGCACCTGTGGAAACTAAGGTTGCAGTCATTGTAAATTCTGTAGGAATCCCCTGTCCAACTCAGGGCTGGGTCTGTTTTTCTTTGTTTTTGTGCGCCGGTGAACACTGAAACTGTGCCCGAATTTTATTGTTCAACTGAAACTGTGCTTGAATCTTATTGTTTCAAGCAGACCCAAAAACCACCAGAAACTATTGTTTTCGGCCACCCTTGAATTATTAATTTCACCTGCGCTGAATGTGCAACTGAAACTTATAATTTAAGGTGCTATTAGGGGTGCTCAATTCTTAAACCGTGGCGTGGTGCCGTAGCATATTTGGTCGAAACAAATAAAGATTCAAACTCCGCTTCATCTTGGTCTCAACCCCACTGTTCCTACCCACATTTTGGAGACAAATGAGCTCCATAATATATTCAATGAGGTAAATAATGGTACCCCAAGTGTTATCTTCTTTCAATACAACGTTCACTGCAAGATATAGATATATTTGTATGAATGTGGGCCGTGGCAAAACCTCCAAGTTGCGGGCCCTCCAAATTTGTCAGGCCTTGTTAAATTGATCCAGATGAGTGACTAAGTGGTTAGGGTGAGTTTGGAGTCAAAATTAGGCTAGGAAATGAAGCAAGAGGAAGTGCAAAACGGTTTGTTTCCTGGCGGAGTTTGAATCTTTATTTGTTTCGACCAAATATGCCACGGCACCACGCCACGGCTTAAGAATTGAGCACCCCTATTTCAGCCTTGCAGAAATTGTCACTGAAACTCAAAGCTTCAGGCTTTCTGAAGTTGTAACTTAATATAATATGTTCAGTTTCACCTTCAGGCATCCTGAAAATAAGAGTTTTAAGGTGCAACTTCAGAAACTCTGAACTTGGTCTGTAAGCCAGTGCTGAAGCATGGCAGTACGAGTCCGTATCTTTTGAACTCCGACCACGTCCATTTGAAACTCAGATCCAGTCCGCGCTTCTTAGTACTCGAAATTTACTATTTTTCATTTCGATTTCGTTGTGGCAAACCAAACACAAAATAGAATGTTGTCCTTGCTGATTCGCGTACTTATTTTCTGTGAATTAAATCGATTGGTAAATAATTCGAGCTCTATCCGGGATACGTGTCCTGGCCCAACCTTCGCTCGGTCGCCGCTTCGTGTCGACCAGCTCAGATTGGGCAGGGCTGGGGCATGGCCTTTGGCCATGCTTCCTAAAATTGGTGCTTTTTGCTGTGAATTAAATTGACTGGTGAATAGTTTGAGCTCTAGCAAGAGGAGAGCGGCAATTCCCGGCCGGACATCGACCTCCTTGACAGCGTCCCCAAATCGGGAATGCCGGACCCGGCGATAACTTTATTAAATGCACCCAGAGTAATTCTTGGTTCCGGAATTCCGGACCAAGTCTCAAAAACGCTATCGTATGTCTGTCCAACCACACACCAACATAATTGGCATCATGCCGTGCTCGGCTCCAGCCTCCAGAGTCCACACGCAATCTTGATCTTAATCTGACCCACAACACTCTCCGAAGTTCTCTAAGTGTTCTGCAATAATGTGAAGCTACTAGTACTCAAGAGCAGAAAAAGAGACAACTGACTTCTCGTTAGAATCACGTATGACTCGGCGCATGGGACGACAACCCTTAGCACAGCTCGGATCAATCAATCAACGGACTTTGAATTTTAATCGAGGCTACGTTCTTTTTAACCTAAGTAATTCTAAGGACACAAAAGTCATCCTACTTTGGAAATTGCATCACCTGTCTGCTCCAAGCATTTTTTGGAAACAGGAGAAGCCCATCAGCTTCAGCAGCTTCGACAGGTTCAGTGCAGAGAAGTGCTAATGGACTGTAGCTAATTGGTTTCTGACTCTCTACCGTGGGAAGAATCAGATGCGACCCACACACCTATTTCAACGGATGCTTGTCTACTTCTTGAGGTATTGGGTTGCAGATCACCACAGAAAAAAAGAAAAAGTCGCTCTTCTTATGTCATCAAAACACTGCGAAAAAAATCTAGGTCCCGTCTTCGGGAGAGCCATATCATATGCAGATGGGCTCATGAAATTAAGAGACTTCGTAGGAACATAATCATGATAATTCAGATAAGCGAAACGGAATATACTACCATCATTTCGATTATTCAAGTCAAGTTAGAATATGCCGAAATGATTTGAAAGTATTTGTATTTGTACTTTTTTGTAAGGTCAGTCCAGTGGCCAGCCAGGGACCCATGCAACTGAATTGTGGAAGCAATGAGCCATTATTCTGCATAAACGTTGAACTTGAGGGAAGCAGGTGGCTGAAAACAAGGTGAAAATCAGTTCAGTGGTCAGCCGAAGGCCCATTTGTTCACGTTCTGGAAGAAATAATGCACCGTTCTCCTTGAACATTGAATTGTGCAGGTGTAAAAAATAAACCTTCACTTCTCCTTAAACATTGAGCTTGTGTGCATAGTTGAAAACCAGTTCAGTGGGTGGCCACCTACTCATATGGAAATAACTCACCCACCATCAACATAAAAGGTTGAACTTAACTGCTCTGCAGCCGTCTGAATCTGTATACAAACATGCGAAGAAATAAAAAATCTTGAATGCCAGAGGCTATCAGGCTGAGTGGTATAAATTTCTTGAACGATGCCACAGTGTCAACCTCCACCTCAGCCTCTGAACCGTCATGCCCAGAGGGCCCCAACTATATATTTTGCTTTGGTTGGATGAAGGAACCAAGTCTGCCCGGAGGGCGCTTGGTATTTATACATATATCGGGCCACAAATACCAAAAAGTCAAGCAGTCAAATGGCGATAGTAGACAGGACTTGTGTGATGCGGAAGGCTGAAGAGATCGGCTAACGACACGGGCCGCGAAATATCGGGGATGAATCTCGGAAGAAATTGGCAACCGATATGCTCGGTATTGCACAGAAAAATAATAGATTTCAGGCAACATTGCTGGCAGTGAAACAATTGCGCCCAGCGAATTTGCAGCGGGTAGTATTCCTTGCCATCAATTCATGCATTCATTCGGGGATAAATCACGTTTCTCATCAAAGTTGGGGACGGTGATTTTTTTTCTGGTGGTAAACGGTTGCCAAGAACGAGACCTACAGTGTTCCACCGGTCAGTGAAACAGTCAAATGATACAGGCCATAACCATTTGCATGAAATATATTAATGAGTTCTGAGGAGGCCAAAGCATTTATATGTCACTGTTGCCCATTCAATATTTTTTCTGGGCACATTGGCCAAGACGTGAGAGAGGAATGGGGTACATTGACTGTTTCACTGACTGGTGGATCAAATACACTGCCAAACATTGATTTTTGCTTTCCTCATTGCAGGGCAATCCCTCAACCATATATTCTGAGAGTTGGTGAGTACATTTTTTGAAAAGGAAACATGATTATCAAATAGTTTGGCAGACAGGATTGTGTAGGGTAGATTAGATACAGGGTGTTTCACTGACCAGTGGTGTTTCACTGACTGGTGGAACACTGTAATAAATTAGGACTCGTAAACACCGAAATTGCGCAATTTCGCGTGGCTTATTTGTCCGGCTTTGCCCCTTCTCACATCATTTCGGCAACAGTGCTGGGGATACGAGTGGCCGGGTTCTGCTATATCGACCTGGTTCCATTGCAACGACGATTATCAATGTCTCCATCCCCACTATCCCAATACCTCGGCGAGAAGACTCTGTCCGAAAGCCTGGAGCGCGCGGTAGCCATTTTCGGTGTGTCTCTTTTCGCTTTTCAACAAAACACTTCAAATTCCGTGTAGGTCGCGATGAGCCCTTGGTCCCCTTCTCCACTTGTGACTGGATGAGTAGACTGAGTGACAGCACAAAGATTGTGGACCTGAACCTCCCCGGGACCCATAACTCTGCAACATGTACCTAGGGTCTCCCTTGGTCGCATTATCGCCGCTGATTTTGTCTTGAGGGGGCTATTCCGATGCGAGACAGGCTGAACTCATTAATTGCACTGGGACGTGAGCCTTCATATCTGCATGAGCTCTCCTCCCACTAATTTAACCAGCATCCACGCTCCCGCGCTCCATAGATGCCAAGAGCGCTCTATGGCCCAGTCATTGAACGACGGCATACGCGTTCTTGATCTGCGACTGGGTTACAATACCGCAAGTGCCACAATTGGGTTTTTTCATGGTTCAAAATTCCCTCACGCAGGTGGTTCAGATCACTGATCAGCATTCGAAGGCCCCGCAATGCTCGCATCAACGACCACATTGCATGACGTCCTTTGTGGCCTATACAACTGGATTTTTGCACACCCAACAGAAACGGTGCTTGTCTCGGTGTTCCAGCAGTTACAGAATCCCGCAAATTCGAAGAGATCATATTCGACACTTTGAATAACGGACTCGCCAAAAGATTTTGGCTCCAATATTCGGGCAAGGTACTGCACATCACACGTCATATGCATGGCTTAATGGACTGTTGGAATAAGCTAGGGACATTAGGCGCAGCGCGCGGTAAGTTGATTCTACTGCAACGATTCAGCTATCAGTTTCGATCACCGCCTTCCAACCCCTTTGGCATTCATCTCGATGCTGAGCAGTGGACACCTAACGGGGGGGATATCAAATTGATCTTCAACACGGAACCAAAGCGGCTCGCATACATCCAGGTGAGTATGCAGGCGTCGTTCGTGCACACGACTGACGACATATGATTAGGACACGTTCCGTCCTTTGGTACCCCGCAATTCCGGAGCAGATGCCAATATCACGTCAAAATTCCAGGTGGTCACAGAATATCTGGAAAAGGCTATGCATGCAACTTTGTCAGCGGAGGTTGCAGCGGAAGCGCTGTACGTGTCGTTTGCGAGCGCCCACGCGAAGAACGATGAAATCCCTGTCACTCCCGACGTCTGTATTCGCATTTTCTTCCCCAATTAATCTGAGTTGCTCCAACACAGATGATTGCTTTGGGCGACACAACAAAAGGAATGAATGAACGACTGCTGCCGTGGTTAAGGCAACATAAAGGGAAGCGCTTTGGAGTCGTCTGTAAGTTTCCCCTCTCGTCATTCACAATGATGTTTATGGGACCGTAGTGCTCGATTTCTACCAC